TATATATATATATATATTTTTTTTAATATAAAATGATCATTTTGCCCTCATATATTTAATGACAAAAAAAGTTGATATCCTTAATCTTCTATTAAAAAAATAGAGAATTATCTAGAAACTGTGTATGAGGGGGTAAATTAATAGTTAAGCCTTAAATTCATAGTATTTTTGTTATGCGACAATTTAGCCCATCTTGGTTCCCTGACTGACAGTGACAAATCAAACTCCCATGTGTTACTCATTTAGGTGTTACAAACAGACAAAACACAAATGTAATATAGGAAAAGACGTAAACAGAAAAAGTAGATTCGCTTAATTGATAGTGACAAAAACTTTGTTAATTCTTGAAATTAGTGTAATGATTTACAAGAAAATCCTCTGTATTTAACTGCTAATTTGTCTTGATTACGTAGCAATCCTGTTCTAATTAGCTGATATGATGATAATTAGCTTATGGGTATATAGGTAGACCTTCTGTTTCAAAAGTATTTCTGATGTTTGTGACTTGTTGTGAGCGAGATTCAAACTTATAACCTCATATACTTCAAACTTATAATAACATTATATGAGTATATTAGTTTTGTAATTTTCTTTTTCATAGGTAGAGGCAAAGGTAGTTACAGAGATTGGAGATCCTAAAACAGCCATATGTGATGCTGTTGAAAAACACAACATCAATTTGCTTATTCTAGGGGAGCGTGGACATGGAACAATCAAAAGGTTAGCTTCATTCTTTTCTGTTTGTGTGTGTATGGGCATGTCCTTGTTCTTTTGTTTAGTTAGAGTGGTCTTCTGATGATTTTTAATGTGGTGACTCAGAGCCATACTTGGCAGTGTCAGCAACTACTGCGTTCAAAATGCCAAGTGCCCCGTTCTGGTTGTGAAGAAAGCACAAGTTCAAGTTGCTTGACATGATCCAGATTTCGGGATGTAAATAATATTGCATAATTAAGAAGAATGTACTGTGACATATTAATTGTGTTTAGATATGGATGATTCTGGTATCCGGTGAACGATGGCGCATATTCAAGCCATTTTCTATTAGATTTTGTTGGAATTTTAAAAAAGTTTTTAAAAATTAACCGTTTTGGATTTATTTAATTATTTTAGCTGTTTTATTTTATTTATTATAAAAGTTATAAATATTTAATTTTTAGGTTTTATTTCTATATTGAACGCCTTAATTTTTATAGTTTAATATGGTGAAGGTAACATGTTATTGAATGCCTATAAAATGCCACTCCACCTTCACATTTGAACAACTACAATACCATCAGAATATCACATACCATCATCATCACCACAATCTGATTCTCTCTTTTTCTGCTTATATATATATATATATTCTCTATTTTCTATTAGTATTTTCAGTCAATGATTATGTGACTTGGAAACATATCCATCTGTGAACGTGCTTATAACGGATCTTGAGCTTGTATATTAGGGTTGTATCTTGGAGTCTTGTAGATCATCAATATATACGCGTACGAAGGCTACAAAGGCCTTAGGATAATGTCTTTGACGTGCTTTACCGTACCAAGTTCACCTTCTTACTTATAATTTATTTTGCTTTTACTTACCTGTCATTTTTCTTCAGTTTCATTGTACCTTAATAGCTTTCCAATTTCTTTATGTGTTATTTATAATATAAAGATTTTTGTATTTGGCTTTATGGAAAGAGGAAAACTATATTATTTATAACAATCTAAAGCCTTTGTAGATTACAACTACTTTCTTTTCGTACTATTGTTGGAGTCTCAATTGAATACTTGATTGATGAGATTACCACTTGCCACTTGGTTCAAATTGTAGTAAACAAAGTATTATCTTACATATGTTTCAAATAAATCATATGTGTTAGGTTGCGTCTTTATCATGGCATAAGTTTGATTATATATGTGAAACCATATGTCTATTAAACCTTTGTAAGTTAAAGTTGTTTTCTTCCCGTATTACTATTGCTTTAATACCTTTTAACTCTTTGATTGAAGCTTTTGCACTTGTATTGGACTTTCAAAATGAAAATTACTGTTTGTTTTGGATAGATGTAGTTTAAAGCTTTCATGTTGTCTATACAATTTCAATTGCTTTAAATATTGTTGGTACCTTTATATTTTTATAATTTGTTGCTAACGTTTGGGCAATTACTGCTAGTGTTTGAAAAGAAAAAATCTACATACTAATTTATGTGGTATCAGTATTATTATTATTATAGCTCAATGTTTTGGAAGAGAATAAAAGTTTAATTACTCAAAAAAAATCAACCAATTAATTACAAAATCAATTTAAAGCTAGATATTTGGAGTGTCTGCAAAATTGTTTTAAAATAAATTTCAATAATGTTAGTATTCAAAAGCTAGTCAAGTACACCACATTTTATAACCCTTGATTAAAAATGTAAAAACACTGTCGCATTTGGCCGGCTTGTATCATAAAGATCATATATATTTCAAACTAATTCATTGAAATTGTGACCCTTTTAATTCTGATATGATTCCACTAAATTTTTATTACGTACTAACATTCTGACATTATTCCTGTATAAATTTAGTTACATATTTGAATTTGTGGTCTGCAGTTGTGTACGTTTTTCTTTACACACTTGTATATCTGTAATTGAGAGTTTATTTCGATGAAATTTAAAATTTTATTATTATATTTCTTTTGTTTCGAAACAAATTTAAAAAATAAATAAATAAATAAATAAATAAATAAATAAAGCTTTAATTAATTTGTGTTGAATCTTTACATTGGCTATTCATTTAGAATAACTAATTGTTTTTTTCTTCGAAGCGTAGACTACAGCTTATTTTATTATTAAGTAAATTTAGGTTTTAGCCACAAAAAAAATTTCACTTTTGGAAAAAGCCAAAGTTTTTTCAAAAAAGATAGAAAAACCTCTCAACTTTCAAATCAAAGACATGCAAATGTAAAGGATTCCTTAGGAAATTCAAAAATAAATAAGGGTAATTTTGTCCATTTTGGCTTCTTTTACAAAATTTCTCTCCCCTTTGTGTTTTTCCAAAGTCTCCCATTTTATTAATATGTTAATTGTTGACTTTATTTCAATAGCGTTAATATATTAATGTTCTAATCATATTATTGTTGATTTTTGGATATCAATTATCTTTGGTTTTGGAAAATGAATCAAATTACGTTATGTGTGGTGTCTTTCGAGTATTTTATATAACTATACATATATATTGCAGTAACAATTGTGTTCAAAATTTATCTTATGGGTTATTTACTGTAGACATCCTTGAACTTGGCCTCCATTTGCAATTGAGTCCGTGAGTTTTTTTTTTCGACAATTACATCCGTTAACTGGATAAACAGTTGCAATTAAGTCATACCGTCCAAGTCAGTCAATTTGCCTGTTAAAATGAGGGGTAAAAGCGCCATTTAGAGTCCGAAGAAAAAAATTGAAAAAAGTGAAAAAATAAATAAACTTAAAAATTAAAATTAAAAATAAAGTGGGCACAATCCCAGCAATCACAGCACTAAAAAATAAATTAAAAAAATAAATAATTTCTGGTGTGGTTACAACTTACAGGCATTGCAATCACAACACTGCAATTCAACTTCTTAGCAGCCAAGGCAACTCCTTGGGCATGGTTTCCAGCTGAGGAGCAAATAACCCCTCGATCCAGTTGCTCCCTTGGAAGCGTTGCCATCATGTTGTAAGCTCCCCGCAGCTTGAACGAGAAAAACTGCAAATTCAACAAAAAAGTTTCTGTCGAAAATCCCCAATTTTTCCAATCCAAATTATTCAATTGAACACTTGGAACAACACTTACAGGCTGCAAGTCCTCTCTTTCCATCCAAACTCTCACTCCCAATCGCTCCGACAGCTTCGTGGCCAATTCTAACGGCGATTCGATGGCCACGTCATATACCTTCGACGACTGTATGTTCGTCAAGTACTCCATGGCGTCGACAATGTTCCCGTTGTCGTTTCCGTCGATGGCAGTACGGTCGGGTACGGCTCCAAGGAAGCCGGGCGGGTACTGGAGCGAATCTGCCGAGACCAGGTTGGGAGGTGGAGACGGCGTCGTTCTGGTCTCGAAGGAAGCAGAGGAGGTGGAAACGAAGTGCTTGATAGGACGGCGGGTGCTGAGCTTCTGGGGCCCATTAGGGAGGTGAGACTGGAGGTGTTATGACCGGAGAAGTGGGGAATGGGCTGGGCTTACGCGGAGGGCCTCCATTGGTTGATTGGTTGGAAATGGCAGCAGTTTTTTGCGAGGAAGGAGTTGGAGTTTTTCTGGGTTTTGCTTTTACTTTCTAATTTTAGTCACACTGACTCACCGTTAATCTCTTCCCAAAGGGCCAATGAGAAAATGACACGTATAGTAAAGGTGGATGGCTATTGGTCTGTGACGCAGATGCAGGTGAGACTCGAAATGACGCTTTTACGCCTCATTTTGACTGGCAAATTGACAGACTCGGACGGCAGGACCTAATTACAACTGTTTATCGAGTTAACGGATGTAATTGCCGGAAAAAAAAGTTCACAGACCCAATTGCAAATGTATGCCAAGTTCAGGGACGTCTACAGTAAATAACCCTTTATCTTATTTATGGGAATAGAGATTTACCTGATTTTCAAGCAGGAGTTATGATGGAATCGATATATCAGGGGTCCAATATCATATACCGCAAGATAAGTGCTACCAATTAATATTTTATCTTATGCAAGTGTGAGCGTTGCTATAAATGTATGTGATTCCAAGAAATTAACTTTGTTTGAATTTTGTAAAATAAGACAATATAGAAACTTATAATTTTCCACTTGTTTAGTTATGTCAAATTTTAAATAAATAACCTGAAATGGAAATGGAAAATGGAAATCTATTTCATGATCTTATCTACATGGTCTTTTTGTTCTTTACGTCTGTTTATTATTTTATTTAATCTAGAAATGTCAATTCATGAAAATGCCTTTTCTTGATTGCATACACTTATACCTTTTCTTTTTTCTATGGAATTTCTTTATATTGGTGTGAATGCTCAATCTTGTCAAACTTTAATTTGCTGAGTTTTCTATGATTACTTGTTTTGAAACCAACTTCAATTTATTGAGAATAAGAACTTTTAAATTTATGGAGAAATCAAATTTGACTATTCCCTTCTATTTTGTGCATAATTGTCCAAATTTTGCCTAATGGTCACACTCTTGTTTTTAATTCCTATATTTATTTTGGCAATAAAGTTGTTAATAATGTTGGGTGATTATCGCCATTAACATGGTTATGAAACTTAATTGCATTTTTGTGTTAATATTGTTAAGCTTGGCTGGAGCTTAATTCAGTTATATAGTCTTACTACAGAAGTATATATAAATATATATTTTCACTGTCTTTTTTTTGTCATGGTAAAATTTTGAAAACCTTATTTAATTATTTTGGTTGTTTTATTTTATTTATTATAGAGGTTATAAATATTTAATTTTTAGGTTTTATTTCTATATTGAATGCCTTAATTTTATAGTTTAATGTGGTGAAGGTTACATGTTATTGGATGTCTATAAAAGGCTACTCCTCCTTCACATTTGAACAAACACAATACTATCAGGGCTCGTTTGGTATGTCAGACTATACTAAATAATATATGTCGGTTAGTATTAATCTGTTCCGGAGAGTACTGACTGTTTATCCATAATATTATAAGGCGTTTAGTGTTATTTCGGATAACTAGTCTGACTAAGTTATATTGTGTTTGGTGATGTTTCGGATAACATAATATCATACTATTTTTTAAAAAAAATTCTTTGATAATTTTAGTGGAAATTGAAATTCAAATGACATGATTTTTTTATTTTTTATTTGGTAAGATTCATATGACAAGATTTGTTTTTCATATAACCCATTATCATAGTTGTAGTATCTCATAAAAATTCCAACATACTAACATAATTGTAATCTTAACACTCCATCCAAGATTGAATTGAAGTACCTACTAATAGTCTCCCTCGATCGCTTAAATATACTACTCATTGTACGATTATGCGAGTGTGTGTAAAAACATACACACTTGCTCTTCTATGATTATTGAACCATTTATTCTCACTCTTTGAAAGCA